AGAGATGGCGCCACTGCCCCATATATTCACGCACCATAACTATGTTTACTTCCTAATGGAAGCAGGATCCTCCTCTTCCTCTTCCGGGCCTACAGGACGGAAGAAGAGAGGTGGTGTGGTTCTAACTGGGCGTCGCGTGGACCAAGTATGTGCGCTGTTGTTTCTGCCCGGGTTTTTCTTTCCTAATGGCGAAAAGAGAGGAGGCAGGGAGGCAAAGCAAAGGGAACATAATCTTCCGTTGCAGGAATGTTCAGCATCGCTTCTCTCGATTCATGTCTCCCAGTTATCTTGTAACGCAATTCTCTTGTGCGGCCACCCTGGCACGGTTGTTCTCAGCGCACCTAAGGGCGGGATGGCCGCGGTGGTTCTTAGGAGGAAACAAAGGATTCAATCCTTTCTCTAAGCTTAACCCCCTCGAATCGCTTTCGTCTGAAAAGTTTAAGAAGGTTGCATCAGAAAAGCTGCGACTCTAAGAGAAAAATCGAATTTACTCTCATTCCTTGTGAATCCTGTACCTTGGAGTTTTTAGTTTTCTTGCTAAAAAAAATTAAAAATTTTGACCCAGACTAATTTATTGACACGGGCATTTGGAGACGCGCGAAGTGTAAAACAGTTTATAGGTTTAAACCTACTGAATGGCCTTATACAAAAAATTGCAAGCAGCATTACAGGATTTTTTTAAAAAATTAATTTGGCACTCCGAATTCTTTGGGAGTTGCAATCCATATGCGTATGAAAGTCTGAAAGAGGAAGGCCTTTAAATTGCCTAAATTACAATCCTGTTTGCTTCTATTAATAGAAGGGTATCCAGTTATATGTTATGAAGATCTATGCATAAATTCATGCAACACGTTGCATAGTTGCAAAATTTAAAATTGCTGTATTTGGAATGATGGCTATATTCCTTCACCTTGCTTTTAGTCACATATTCTGCACAAAAATGTACATTTAATACAAAACTAATTTGAACAATTTGCAGCATTTAATTTCTGCCGCAGCAGTTTTGAAGCCATTTGTTCATAGAAACTGGTAGGACTTTGCATGATTATATTGATAATTATAATGATCATTAGAATTAACAAGGCAGAAATGCAGAATAGGAGGGTAGGTCTTGAGATCCTCTTGCTTCCAAGTTTATCCAAGGTAGAAATCAAGCAGCAGCAAATGCTGCTGGGGTACAATCATTCTAATAACTGTTGGATAGGCATTCAATTTTTCTGCTCTGATATATTAGAATAAAAATTATCCCTCTTAATTGTGTGTTGTTTGGTTTGATCAGGATAAAAAAATGACCTTTGGTTTGTGATTCTTCCAAAGCTGGAAGGAAAGACAAAGTTCAGTGTCTACAAGTTGCTTTCTTTAACTTGGTTCCTTCCAGATAGGTTCAGCCACAAAGACTGCCACTAAATCCAGCTTATTTGGATGGCATTACAAGTACTGTGTATTGAAGATTATGATGTTTTTTTCTATATAATTATATTGATCCTGTATCTAGAATCATTATAGCTTGTTGAAAATTTTATATTGCCATGTGGGCATCTTATCAGTAAAATAGAATTTCAAAATGTCATGAGAAATTCAGTTTTGATGTACATGGTTTTTCACTGACATTGAGTAATGATGGAAAATACCTTGGCAGGATAAGTAATTTAGTCCAGGGCTGAGTCACCCTTTAGCTCAGTGTTTCTCAACCTTGACAATTTTAAGGCATGTGGACTTCAACTCCCAGAATTCCACAGCCAGCAATGCTGGCTGTGGAATTCTGGGAGTTGAAGTCCACATGCCTTAAAATTGTCAAGGTTGAAAAACACTGCTTTAGCTCTACAGCTGTACTTTCCTATATAGTGATTATTGTATATCTCTTTGAGACAAAGGTACAATCATTCAGCAGCATGATTTCATAATTTTTTGAGGTATATAAAACTATAGTTTACAAAACCCAGTGCAAACTATCTAGAAAAAATAGACAACAGAGGTAGTCCTCAACTTACAAACATTTAACGTTTGAGGTTACAACAGCACTGAAAAAAGTGACTTATGACCTTTTTTCACACAACTGTTGGAGCATCCCCTGGCCATGTGATCAAAACTTGGGCGCTTGGCAACTGGATCATATTTATGGTGATTGCAGTATCCTGGGGTTATGTGATCACTTTTTGTAACCTTCTGACAAGCACAGTCAATGGGGAAGCCAGATTCACTTAACAACCGTGTTACTAACTTAACAACTGCAGTGATTCACTTAACTGGCAAGAAAGGTTGCAAAATAGGACAAAACTCATTTAACAACTGTTTTGCTTAGCATCAGAAATTTTGGGCTCAGTTGTGGTCATAACTCAAGGACTACCTATAAATCCAGCCCCACACACATATATATATGTATCATTGTTTTCTTCTTGTAGAATAGTATTAATTTGGCTCCTGGCAACCAAACCATAGCCCTTTTCTGGTCTAGGCTCTAAAACAAAGTGAGTTGTTTTCTTATAGTCATTTTTATTAACACTTTTCATCCCATGTCCAGATTAACTCTAAAGTTTCTCAGAGACCTTCAAATATTTTTCTAGAGTTGTAACATGTTCTATAGTTTTTAATGTGAATTAATTATTAACCATAAATAAGCAGGACAATATAACTCTAGAACAGAGACTTTTTATTTGCTTCATTATTATCCCAAATTGGAAATGGAAAGTTCCCTATATTATTAAAAAATATTGTTGAGTTTGATCAAAATGAAATCAAAAGTCTTCATGTGTTAGCACAATAAGGATATTGCTGATTAAAATGAAAGTAAAAGGTTTTGCAATAATAATAGTTGGGTAACATGTAGTCAAGTAAATTAAAATCCTACTTTACAGAGCAGGTATATATTATATATCCATCACTGTAAGCTTATTCAGATCCTTAGTACCCATCTTTCCCTCTGGCAATTAAAACTCAGGAGACAGCAGAACAGATGCATCTTTCTCAACAGCTACAGAATGGATGGACTTCCTGCCTGCTGCAAACTCCTATGACATTTTAAAAATGAGAGGACCATATGGAGAATGGAGGGGAACCATTCTCTTTTCAAACAAGCACCTGAGCAGAGTTTGCATGTTTCCCAAGTCCTTTGAAAATTTCTGTTTCTCTTCTCAGATGGAGCAAATTTTCTCTGGACTACCATTAGCTAAGAAAACACTAGTATGGAAAGTTTTTAGGCAACAGATTCAAAGTACAGTAATTGTTAGCAAGGCTAATGTTTTGGTCCTCTGAATTGACCATTCTTTTGGTGATTAATATAAAATATTACCTGCTGAAGTAACTGCAAAAAAAATCTTGTATCTATTATGGATAATGAAGTTGGTACTGTTGTACTATAGCGTAAATGTACTGGAATCTCCATGGACGTACTATTATCTCAGGCTTTATTTTTCTTCTTGCTCTCCAAAATTGTAGGAGAAGCAGTATATTGTAGGGTTTTTTTCTGTGTAGAATAGTGAAATTTCAGATCTTTCCCCATACAAGTTGCGTATATATAGCAAGCAAATAACAAGTAGTTGCTCTCTCTGGGCTCCTTATGGTCGTTGTTCATTCGGAAGTCAGATGAAATGGAGATCATCCTGATAGCAGGTCTACGACAACTTGCTACAACCAACTTGTTGCAGCCAACTCACCGCTGGACAACCCGCAGCAGGGCAAGAGTTATACTAATATCAAAGAAATAGTGAAATAGAATCATTAAAGAAAGGATGCCAAAGGAGGGACAAAATGAAATGTGAATCACAAAAATTAATATATTTTTAATTATTTTAAATAATTAAATTGAATTGTTGAATTGTCCCGCAACGAGTTGTCCCATGGTGAGTTGTCCTGCAGCTGGTTGGCCATGGTGAGTTGGCCGCAGCAAATTGGCCATGGCAAGTTGTCCCAATTAATGAAAGGTGAACTGTGACGAGTTGGCCATGGCGAGTTGTCCCAATTAATGAAAGGTGAACTGTGATGCTTGGAGGTGAAAAACGTCTACTGGAAAGAGATTTGGAGTTCCTTGTTTTACCCAGAACAGTCTTAATTGTTTGCTATTTCATTATTTGTTTATAGTGCAAGTGAAGTGCAATATTGATAGAACTGAATACTTGCTTTTTACAGGTATCTGTCAGTGGAAAACCTAACTATTCTTAAGAGTTTGTCTTTGGCTTTTGATGTGTGGAGTTGTGGGTTTTTGCATCTGCTCAATATTGGCAATGTTCAAAGTTGCTTCTGACATAAGTATGTTTTAAACTTTGAGATGTTCAAAATGACTGCCACCATAAAATGAGTGTTCTGTTGGCTGTTTATGGGACAGATTAATTTTAAAGAATGGGTGGATTGTTCATTTACTTGAGAAGGAAAGGGTCAAGAGTATTCTAAAAGGCAACGATTGAAATCACAAAAAGCAATCCTGTTTTTAAAATGAACTATGAGGAAAAGCATGTTTACATCTTATTTTGCAAACCCCCAGATAAGCTTTTTAGGCAGTAAATGCCCAAAGTTTAATCTATTATTATTATTATTTTGGGAGAAAAGGGGAAAGTGAATATCAACATTGCAATTCTATGCTTGTCTCATCAGAAGTACATTTCGCTAATTTGGGTTGGATTTATTTTGAAGTAAATGTATTGAACAATTAACAGTAAGATTGAAAAAGAATAAAATGGAGAGTGAGAATGGAATATTGGCAAACATTATTTTGCTCCAGTACTGTAAAACATCTGAAAAGTATTTTGGTATGGAAGGTTTTGTTTAAGAATTTTATACCGTTCATAAAAATCTTTGCCTCTTAACAGATATTGCTTCACATGATGAAATTAGAAGGTACTAAATTCTCATTTAGTGAGAATTTACTTGATACCTTAACCTTAAATTAACTTGGACTTAAAATAAAATGCAACCATAAATTGAGTCTGTGTGAATTTAAATGGCTGCTTTTTAAATTTACCACTCTATGTGCTAAATTTTGATTTTAATTTTCTTTTGTCTTTTAGTTCTCAGTTACCACTAGTACGTGTACCAATAGACAATGGTAAGATTTGTTTCTTTATAATTGCTAATGTATTTGATTTGTTTCATGTTAGTAGATACAGATATTTATCCCAGTTGAATTGCTTTTGAAATCATTCAGGATGTATATGTGTTGTCGTGTGTGTGGGCAGCATTGTTAATGTCTTTCATACAGTAATAAAAAAAAGAGGAAAGAATGCAGAATAGTTTAGTAAAAGTTACTCCACTATTCAACTCTTGCACTTGGTATCACAACAAATCATCTTGCCTTTCAGTGCAAGTACTGAAATTAGTAGATGGTGTGATGACAATTTCAATCAGCAGATTTTGGAAACTGAATGCAGAATCAAAGGTTTGAAAAACAGAATCATGCATCCTGCAATGTCTTTTCTATATCTTTGTACTGAAGTATGATTTATCTTCCAGTCAGATTTTGAATATAGAAATTGTCTGTATTTTGTTTTTTTCCTAGGAAGTTGTGCCCTAAAATTACATCAGAGTAATAGCCTATTAAATAAGCAGTTTTAAGATGATAAAAGAATTTAGTAAGAACATAAAGCTAAGTGGAGCTGGTAATCATCATGGAAAGCAGTTATAATAAAAAAAGTTTGTATTTTAGCTCTTGAGAGGTAGGAGTATGTGTGTGTGTATTTGTATGTGTGTGTATATACTGCAATCCATGCACTCTTCATTGAAAATTATGGACCAATATTTCCCACCCTGCTCTAGTTTTGCGAGTAGATAGATGTTTTTCCCAGTCTAGTCTTATAACCAGCTTCTGTACCTAAGGGAGATAAGAATCTAGACTTTCACACTCCTATCCATCGCTTTAACCCAACTGAATACAATATGTCTGCCTGTCATTGTTCCAATAGCACCATACCTGGCAACTAGGCTTTTGCTCTTCATATTTAATTGCATGGTGCTATGAATGTTCACATAGAATGTGTGATTGGGACAGCTATTACTTCTATAGTCATGCCAGGAACGCCAAAATGCTTCCAGGTTGAAAAGATTGAACAGTGACATTACCATTGCCTGAGGGACACTCAGTTGGAGGCTCCTTTCATGTCGTTAAGTTGCCCACCAGAGTGATACCCATTTATCTACTTCCGGTTGTCCACTTATGAACTGCTGGGTTGGCAGGAGCTGCAGTGTGTGATGGGAGCTCATCCCATCCTGCAGCAGCAGCTGAGTCTCAAACGTAAGCCTGCCAGTCATCGGTCCAGCGTCCTAACCTCATTACCACCACACTCCATTATTGTGTTGTTGCTAAGTGAGGATTATACCTAATCCACAACATATTATTTCTCTAGTAAGTAAAAGACTTTAAATAACATGCAATGTGAACATTTTGTCCTTTGCTTCTGTCAGAACTTACATAAAATAAAGTTTTCAATGATGCAGAATTTCTCTTCATCTGATTTGGTCAAATACTCTCTAAATAAAGTACATAGCTAATGATAAAGTTTCAATGATTGTTATTAATGGAGAAACTCATTATTTTAAGTTGTATGTTAGCATAATTTACAGTGATTATCTTTACTTTGTGAGGAGACATTTCATCCAAGATGGAGAAAATAGTATGAAGTGAATAAGGCATTACAACTTTCCTGGACCTCTGTTCTCCCAAGCCTATAATACCAAAACTGGCATTATATTGCATCACTTGTGTCAGTTGTATCTATTCAAATTTTCTCACACTTGAATAATGGGCTCTCTAGTGGGTTCTAGTCACATTCACTTTAAAATTTTCTTTGTAATCAGGAGATGTACAGAATGACATTCATATCTATTCCATAACCACATCATTGGAATAGAAGTTAAACAAATGGTGTTTTGATCATTATAAATGTTAAGAGTTTTACACAAAAATAAGCTCAAAAAATAAGCACACATTCAAAATGAGCAGGAGGCATAGTTTAGAAAAACTATAAAATATATATAAACATGATACATACAGTTTCATTCAGTTCTTGGGATTATCAACAACTCTTAACTTGGAGATTAGAACATCATAGAGAAGACTAAACCACGCCCAGACCTAGGCTGGCTCACATGCTTCTCACAGCCAATACTGTGTCTTAATCAAAAACAGTTCTCATTGGCTGGTTTGTTGCTATGGCTATTCCAATTCATAAATTCTTACACACTGACAATAAATGAGTAGTATTATTTTTGCATCCACGTGCACAAAAACATTGTAGGCTTATATGCTCGCCTCTTTCCAGCATGGTACTTTCAATTTTTCCTAATCTAAAGCTTTCCCCCTTTCCCCTTATAGTAATAAAATTTGTAGTCTGACACCTTTTAGGACACTAGACTCAAGTTGTCTGAGCAGAATCTTACAAGTAACAGCATTATAATTGTCTTTCATGTTCCTCGTTTTTAATCCCTTGTAGCTTCTGTAGAAATACATAGTATAGCTTCTTTAAGGTTTAGAAAGGCCAGTATATCCCTCATAATCATCCTCTCTATGTGTTTGTCTTCAAATCAGTTTTGGACTACTGGCAGTACTTTGACTTGTCCCTGTCCCAAGTTTTCTTGGCAAGTTGTTTTTGGAAGTGGTTTGCCATTGTCTCCTTTCTAAGACTGGGAGAGAATGACTGGCTCAAGGTTACCCAGCTGGCTTTGTGCCTAATGTGGGACTAGAACTCAGTAACAGCAAACTGACTCCATAATCATCTTAGATTAAAAAAAAAAAAGGTCATGCAAATAACTTTCTCATGCTTTGTTCCTTTTAAATGTATAAAATATTGAGATTTTGTTAACGTTCTATTTAAATTAGAGGTTTTCCTAGATCTCTTCTACCCCTTTTCATTCTCCCTCAAAAAAGTTTGGCTTTGCATCAGATTCACAATACTAACCAGCTGAAACAATCCTTTCTGTCCCTCTTCACAGTTAACAACAGCTTTGCAAATCAGCCAGCTATTTTTTTTTCAGTGAAGTTGCTACCAAAATAAGCTTGAGAAACAACTTACTTTAATATTTTGCATTTGAGCAAAAATTGTAATTGATTTCCTTTATTGGAGTTGTCAGTTTTTTTACTGGTTGAACTAACTCATTTATTCCATACAAATAAAATTTAAAAAAAATAGAATAAAAGAGGTTTTTTTCTGAAAATTTGTGACTACGCGCCACTTTGTCAGGAAAAAAAACTTTATTTTATTTAGAATCTACAATTTTTTTTCTGACAAAGTGCACACAGTTACAAATTCTCAGTCTAAAAATATTTCACAGGTCCTAGCAGCAATTGTTAGCATAGGCAAATCTACAGTTAGAATAAAATAATCTACATATGCCCTGAAGTTGAGGTGATGGAGGTTTGCATCTAAAGGATGCTAAATTAAAGAAGACTAAGTTAGGATATCAGCTTAGAATCAGACTAATAGATTTATTTAATACTGGCACTGAATTCTAACATTTGCATCCAAAAGATATTATGCTAAATATAAACTTGAATTCTGAATTTCAGTTTTTTATCTGTTTCTGGGGAGGGGGTTGCTTTTAAGTAAATAGAAACACAAAAAATAATTGCCAATAACCTTAACCAGGAGAAAATAAGCTAATCTTTGGAGCAATTTGTTTTTGTCCTTGGAAACTGTGTCTTCAAAAGGCTATTGTGTAGCCCTGGGTGATTAAAATAATGGGAATGTTGCCATTAACATCAGCGGCATAGAGACTGAATCCATTGTCAAGTCTCCTCCCCCTCTCCCAAAATAGAGCTTTTCAGAGAAGTTTGAGAACGGAGGAGAAACTTGTATTCAAATGTGTCTGACACAAAACAGTATGTCCTACTGGTTCCTGGGAACCAGAAAGTGAAACTGGCCATAAATAAAAGGAGATTGACCTCTTAAGATTCATTGTTAAAACTGAATACCAAGAATAAATACAATTAGGCTTCTGGAATTCATGTATTCTTAAAAGTTTAGACTAAAATTGCACTTTTAGAAATCAATCTTGTCAACTTATGGGATTTGGTGACCAAGATATATATTCATGATATGGAAAGTTAAGTTGATTGTACGGTGTTTAACCTTTTTTCCCATTGAAATAATATCTTTTTTACTCTTAAAAATGAAATAGAAGATTCCATAGTGCTGAATGAGATGCAGCTCTCTTGACTTAAATTATAGTGGCTTTTACATAATGGAGGACGAGGGCACTTTTGAACATACATGCACATTTGCACGTGATTGGACTTTCTGGACAAGCACTTGCAATATTTTTTCCCCAAGTATAGAGAAAGCAGGCAGGCATATTTATTTAGTCCCAGGTTCTATATATTACATCATCTGGAGAGGTCCTAGAACATTGGTGGCGAACCTATGGCATGCGTGCCAGAGGTGGCACTCAGAGCCCTCTCTGGGCATGCGTGCCGTGCCCCAGAGATGGCAACTATTCCTCTTCAACCAGCCGCCCGCTAACTCACCAAGGTCTCACGTGGCTGGATGCATCCCAGCACGGCTGGTTTCCCTCCCCCCCGTATTGTCCCTCCTGGCTTCGCATGCTCTCTTTTTCCCGGGAACAACTCACTGCATTGCCTCCTCAGCTGTTGGCCAGCTGTCCAGCTCAGAGGTGGCTTCTCTGAACTGCTGGCAGTGGGCTACAGAGCCCCAGAGTGGGCCGGTCGAGGAGCCGGCAGGCTGTGGCTGCTGATGGACACCGTCGGCCCTCATGCGCTCGCTGACCTCTGTGTGGGGGGACCGATGGTGTCAGGCAGCAGCTGCCCTGGCCCTTGCCTTGCCCCATAGCAATGGCACCCCCGCCCTGCCTTGCCTCACCCCGCAGGATGAGCCTCCTGCCTACCACTGCACCTGTCAGAGACCCCCTGGATCTCCCCCAACCCTGCCCACCCCCCACAGGCGTCCCTCCCCACGAGTAACATTGAGGTGACCATGCCCATCTTGGCCACACCCACCCAATCTGCCATGACCACAGCCACGCCCATCCAGTGGGCCACGCCCACCTGGCACCCGGCAATAAATAAGTGGGTTTTGGATTGCAGTTTGGGCACTCGGTCTCTAAAAGGTTCGCCATCACTGTCCTAGAAGGTAGCTGTATTCAGCAGTCTCATATTTCAGCCGCTTTAGATACAACTTTTGCCTGCTATTGCTTTGCTGTTTCACTGTCCTTTTGTGGTATAAGGAATTGGAGCGTTCTCCAGAGTAATGAAATATTTATCCTTTTATGGACTATCTTGGTTATTGGATGTGCCAATTTAGGCAGTAAAACTTTAGGTAGTTGGTTCTCTAGATCCTCAGATATTTTAAACTTGAAAACCAGAAGAAATGTGGAATAGCAATAGCACTTAGACTTATATACCGCTTCACAGTGCTTTACAGCCCTCTCTAAGCAGTTTACAGAGTCAGCATATTGCCCTCAACAATCTGGATCCTCATTTTACTGGCCTTGGAAAGATGGAAGACTGAGTCAACCTTGAGCCAGTGAAAATCGAACTGCTGGCAATCGGCAGTCAGCAGAAGTAGCCCGCAGTATTGCATTCTAATCATTGCTCCACCATGGCTATTATGGACATAAGTTGTCAAGAGTCACTGTGAAAAGACACTGTCATGGAAACGTCCAACAAGAGAAAAAAGAAATCAAAGACAAGAAAGACAATTTCTCAAGAAGCAACTTAACAAAAATTTCAGAGAGCTGTTGGAAAGACTTAGAAAAGTATTAAATGGGGCACTTGAGAAACGGAGTGCTCCTTTCCATGCAGTCACACAGGGTGCTTCAAAACGCAGGGAATCCCTGCATTTTGAATAGCCCCTCCAGAGCACAAACATTCCACAATCCACAATGCCAATCCTAACCCCCAACCCACCCCAGAGCATCCACAATGCCAAATCCTAATCATCACAGGGCAACCACATTCCTTCAGTAACCTTTCCAGCTCCGTTCTTCCGACCTTCCAACTTCTCACCAAAAAAAAAAAAGATCTCACAAAGTTGGAAGGTCTGATTGAACTTTTTTTACCGATAGTCCCACAGGCTTCTTTTGTTGCACACGGTGGCGGAGAACAGAGCTGGAAAGGAGGTTAGTGAAGGGAGGCTTTGGGGAAGCAAGAAGAGATGGAGAAGGGTGTGCCCTGGCCGTCGCTGCCTCACTCCACCAGCATCAGGGTTCAGAGGCTTGTTCTTACCGGGAAAAGCCATTTCTCAAGCCCCTTCATGACGAAAACAAACTTCCAGATCATGACCACTCAGTGGTTGCCATTGCTGCCAGCTTGGATGTGGATGCAAGGGACCTGGCCCCGCGATGCCTCACTGCTCAATTGAAGGCTTCGTTCCTCCCCTCAGACTAAGGCTGGCACATGTGAGTGAGCAGTGCACCTGGGCCATGGACAGCATTGGTTCCTGCGCCTGGCCAACTCCAATTCCATGCTTTGCCCCATAGGCATGCAAACAAAGCAAATACTTCCCCCCCCCCCCAGAGAATGGAAGCTTCTGGGGGCCATGACCTCTTTTGCAGAGAATTTATGTTTGACCTCACACAATATTACGGCACCCAGGAGCTTCCATTGTCAGCACAAAAAGCATTTCCAAACCGAATCTCCCTCAAAGAAAACGAAACTGCAGCAGAGAGGAGATAGATTTTACAAGGTAAGTGAGTCCGGCGTGGCAGGAAGGAGGAGGAAGCAGTTGTGTGGAGTGGGGAGAGGAATAGGGTGAATATTGCAGAGCCTCTGTGATCAGTTGCTCATAAGGGCGAACGACCGCTGTGGTGCTGCAATAGTCGTAATTTGGGGATTTGCTTGTAAACAGTAGAGGGCACTGATCACTTAAATTTGAATGAGCGTTAAGTGAACACTCGTAACTCAGGGATTACCTGTAATAGTTTTGGGGTAAGGTAGGAGAGGAGAGGATATTTGTCTGTGTATTTCCCATTCTTTTATGTTTAGCACACTGTATAAAAAAGTAATATGCTGTGCCATGCTATAGGTATTGGTTTTCTAGGTACATAGGACACTTAACAAAACATATAGGAATGAGATCTTACAATGCTGAACTTTGTTTTCCTTTTTAGGCAATATTTTTATGTCAAGACATAGGACCATGGTATTTTCAAAAAATGTATGCAAGATATTGGAAACATTACAATGAAGCAATGGAGTGGATGTATAGACATAAAAACGCTTATAGGAAAGCCATGGAATTATTATATAATCCATCACTTCATCCTTCCAAACAACATCAACGTTATTCTGATTGGGATGAAAATATTCCAGGGACAACTGGTCCATCTTTTTTTTCCACCTCAGACAGCAAACCACGGTATTCTCCAAGGCCTCAGGATGACTTGCATTATGTCAGAAGAAGGAGAGCAGCAGAGAAAGAGTCTGAAACAGATTCAGAATTTGAAAGTGAAGAGGACATAGATTGTGACCTCAGCAACATGGAAATCACAGAAGAACTTCGGCACTATTTTGAGCAGACTGAGCGACACCAGGAAGAACTACGTGAGTGTGCTCTCTTCTTTTATTCTTCACGTCAGTTTATTTTTATACTGTTTATCCCTTATTTTCATGTCCACATCTGTTGTCTAAAGAGCTGAGCCTAGAAATCTTGTAGATAGGATTTTCATTGTGAGCTCTTCACAAACCAGGGATCAGTAAGCTCAGGGACTGGTAATTTGCAGTCAAAGTGTCAATGTCTCTAGACAAAATTGCAAAATATTTTTTCAAGCTGCTTTGGAATGAAAAAGATAATGAAAAAAGTGGTGATGATTTATCTGAGCCACTAAGATTTAAATATAAATACTTTTCAGAGTCACTGAATAGCCGGTACAATTCAAATAGCCAATTTTGGCTAGTGATTATAACTTTTAGTTAATAATCAGCCATGGTTCATCACGGGAGAAAAAAGCCTGGGATATAAAGGCTTTAGGACAGGACTTTTCAACCTTTTCACCCATTGTACCACTTTTAGGATATGGCAACATCTGAATACCACCAGTTGCCTCGCAAGGTTTCAAAAAGTTGATGACCATAAAAAAAAAGGAAAAAAGTGATAAAATACAGGTAGTCTTCAACTTACAACAGTTCGCTTAGTGACTGTTTGAAGTTACAATGACACTGAAAAAAGTGCCCCCCCAAGCCATAGCCTGCCCGCCCAGCGGCGTTCTTCCTCCTGTCCGAGGTTTTCATTGTTGTGAGCATTTCTGTTGGGGATTGGCCATGGGGGTGGGATGAGGGGGTTGTTTGGTTTTTATTCCCATTGTCTGCTGGGTGGTTGCAGCAGGTTTTGGTCACTTCACATGACCCTGGGACACTGTGACCATCATAAATATGAATCAGTTGTCAAGCATCTGAATGTAAATTATAAGACCCTGGAGATGCTGCAACATTCCAGCTGATCGATGCTTCTTCTGGGCTCAGCAGAAATGCCAGGATCAGTACTGCTTCAGGGCTCAGCAGAAGCACCAGGATCTGCACCGAGCTCCAGCTGGAGCCTGGCACTGATCCTGGTGCTTCCACTGAGCCCTGACAGCCCTGCAGCTCCAGCCATCTCTCGCTCAGGCTTGTGTGGTGCTGCCACCGGTTCAGCTCATTCCCCTCCCCCGCTACCACTTTTCTAGGATGGTCACGTATCACCTGCCAGGTGCCAATGTACCACAGGTGGTACCCGTACCACTGGTTGAAAAGCCCTGCTTTAGGAAACTAAGCTTTTCTCCTAAAATGAGAAAAATCTTATGCAATATACTAGGCAAGCTTCAAGCTTCAGCTATTTATGATCAAGTCAGACTTAGCTATTCTCGATCAAGTTAGAAAAGCAAAACTGGGATTTCTCCACACTCCCCTTCATTTTCTCAGGCATTTTTCATTCAGAAGTTGATGAGAGAAATACTACTTTGCAGTTTTGTGTAACTTGGTCTTAAAATTCTCTTAGATTGCTTTAAATCAAAGATAAGATCTAATTTATCCAGCCAAGCTGATATATTGATTTTCAAGTTTGGCCATAGGCATAGCAAAAAGCCATTCATATACTGTTACGAAATCTGTGCTTGTCAGCTACTCTATCTACTAATAATTTGGATCCCAAATATTTTGGTAAAATGGAATTTAACCAAGCTAGTTTTTCTTCTGACCACTTCTCTTGAGCATATATCATAATAAAGAAAATTGACCAGGGACCTTGTCTGGGAAGTGAATCTCACATTATGTTCTCTTGGCTCTTCAAAATGACAGAGGAATTTCAAGCCTAATTAGAATCTGAGTATATATATCCAAATATTTATAGCCCTACTAATATGAAATTTGTAAACCTATGGCTATAAGAGTGTTATGCTTTGTGTCGATTTGATTTCTGTGGCAAGAGAAATAGTCTGCAGGGCAATTTTACAGTTTGTTCTTCTAAATCAGACATGTCAAACATGCGACATCACGTGACGTCGTGCAACGTATCGGGACAGTTTGGCAATTGCTGGAAATGGGGTGGGCGCAGCTTCCACGTGACATATCCGGCCCGTGGGCCGGCAGTTTGACACCCCTGTTCTAAACAATATATTGAAACTTTTAAAAAAGCACTGTTCTGAGCCTTATCCTGTGAAATTTGTGCGTATAAAATGCTATGGTTTAAAACTAATATCAACATGATATTTTTCCATTTTAATTAGTAGATTATTAAAATGGTCCAGAGGAAATTCTTAGTTACTGTATATTGCTGAAGCCTGGAGGAAAGTCGTGACTAGATAGCATACAGATCAGCCATTTACTTTCTCTTTTCTTGATTTAATCCAACAGCATAGATTTCAATATATCTTTATCCTTCAGGTGTTTGTTATGCAGTATAAAAAGTTTCTCTTTCTCTCCCCCTCCTTCTCCTTTTCCCCCACCAAAAATAAAACTTTTAGTTTGAGGAACTAATTTGTTTTAGACAAATTAAAAGCAGTTTCTTTCTTATGTAATCCTTTTATTTAGAATGACTTGGATTTGAAAGAGCTTTTATACCTTTTTGATTGGCTCAATTCACAAACTAAATAAAATTATTTCTCCCTTGTGAGTTGTACACTGAGGCACACATAGGCAAAGCATGCTTTCTAAAATAGGATAACCTCTCCCTCAGTAAGAATCCCAACTGCCGTAGTACCAAATAAAAATAAATACAAATTGGGAAAGAGCATCTATCTATCTTTCCAATTTTGTTATAATTTGGGAAGACTCTCACCATCTGGCAGTCCCCTGGAATCTGGCAATGGAGAAGAGATACATTTAATTTTACAGAGCTATTGATTTTGCAGTTGAGTATTTTAAGCTGAACAAATTTTAGGATAAAATCTGATTAAGCTAAATGCTATTAGCACATTACTTCATTTCATCATTCTTCCTCTGCAAAAAACCTTTGGAGTGTATTTGTTGAAGAAACTACATGTTGTTGTTTTAAATGTCAACAGATTATTTGCTGCATCAAAGGCCATGGCTATATGAATCTGGCTGGCTTTTTTAAATTTAGGGATAATGCTGGGAGGAAATAGGGCTGAGGAGTTATCAGATCTTAGACATATACCAATTCCTCATACCTATAAGTGTTTAATAATGCTACTCCCTACAGATGTGTCTTTTTGGTTTCCTCATCAAATTATTCAACCCAAATTTCTAAAGATTCCCTGGCGGACAAACCAACTTCTCTTGCCTATTTGCTCTTTTAAATCCAGAATTCAGAGACATTTATTGGTTGATAGCATATCACAGTGCAATCAATTAAAATATCTGGACGTCTTGTGAAATGGGAAGAGAAATAAATGGTAGATATTGTTGGAAGAAAAAGCTGGGGGCTTGCTTTCCAGGCAGGAGGCTATACCTTTAAGAGAAAAAACAAAATGCCACCATTTGAAATAGATGAGAGGAAGCCGGCTGCCCGAGAGGAAATGTTTATTGGCAGAAGCGAAGTACCGTTTCAGCAGTTCACTTCTGGCTCAGCTGAACAACTAACTGGGTGAGTGGAAGGGTTCTTATATGGTTCTGAGACTTTGGAATTTGTGTAATATGGGCTTTGTGTTTTTAAAGGAGTGTTTGAGTAACTTCTTTTGTGGCTGATGGCTATGTGTTGGGGTTTTTTGGCTGAGGGGTTGCTGATTTTAATCCTATCATTCTATCTTTGTTAGCTGTCAAATCTTGCTGCAAGGGGCTTCAAATGAATTTGTGATAATGTTTTTTTGTCTGTTTGCTTATGACTAGGGCCGTGGCTTCCACTTTCAATAAGGTCATCATCTCCCTAAGTACTGGCAGCTGTCTGCGGTTAGCGTTTTTGTTACCTTGTGTCTGGTTGTAATGTGGAATGAGCCCTGGGCAGTTTTCCATTAGCGATTTGGTTTTTCTTTTTAAAAGACTTTTACTTTTGCTTGATTTTTGTAGAAAATATGGGGGGGGGGTTGTAATAATTATTTCAGTCCCCCACTTTGGGCTTTAAAATATGTGTGCATATTTTATTGCCCAACCAGTTTGGACCTTTTAGTGGGAGTATAACTGATATGTTTTATCAATCTGGCACATCATGAGGGAAACCTGTTAGTTTTTCCTTTATGAAGTCTGGGAGAGAATACAATCGTTCAGATTGGTTAGGAATGGGGTTAGATATTGGCAGAGACAACACAGGAGAGCTCCTATAACAGTGGTGGCGAACCTATGGCACGCATGCCAGAGGTGGCACTCGGAGCCCTCTCTGTGGGCACACATGCCGTTGCCCCAGCCTCACCTCCCCCCACGACCCCCTCCTCACTAGCAGCCCCCCGGATGAGAGTCGCCACCGAGCATGGCCCACATGGAGCAGCGCAGCCAAGGACATGGCAGCCAGGCAGTGTAGACAAAACTCTGCCCTCACACCCCATCCCGCACAGTTGATGCTGCGGGGTATGGGCAGAGGGTGTGGCCGCCATGGCGCTGCTGGGCTGCCTGGGCGATCTGCGGCAAGCCCTGGAGGCGGTGAGTGGCCCTGCGGGCAGGCAGGGTAGAGGACAGGGCTAGGCCAGTTTTTGGGCACTCGGTCTCTAAAAGGTTCACCATCATTGTCCTATAAGGATCCCTGCAGCTCTTCCCATAAGCAGGGATTTTAACCAGTGAAAGTCTGAAAGCCATGAGAAGAGCCCTGAGAGATCAAAGGGAGCTTTTTCATAGCCAATTTTTTTGTTAGTTCCCTGAGATTTTTTATATTGCTCTTTATAAGTTCTGAATTTTCGCTTAAATTGAAACAACATAAGCCACGGATCTCCTCACAGCTATGGTTATGCCTCAGCAGGAGATAATCAATAGCTGCCTGGGTTTCTAATGTTGCTTCTCGTACTTGGCTTAGTTCTCTATTGAGAATGTCCAGAGCTTGGGAGGTTCAATTAAGATTTTTTGCCAATATGCAGGCTAGGCTGTTAATGTTTTTGCAATTCCACACTGCAAGGCCTGGCACACTCACCAATGATACTGCCAGGCTACATACACTGATGTGGTTAATAGAGCTGTTTTAGAGTCAC